GTTTTCTAAAGCTATCTATGGATAAATAATCCCCTTTCAAACTGCATCATGGGAGCAGCAGCCAGGGGATTTTTTTAAGTTCCCAAAGCAGGTATGAATTCCCCTGCCTCCTGGCACTCCCTCCTTTCCCCTCCATGCTCAGCAACATGTCTCCTCCTCTCCCCTTCCATTAACCCCCTCCCCTACCCACCACTTCTGCTGGCTGATCTGGGGGCAGGGAAAGCTGAAGAGCCCCTCCTGCCCTGCTCCAGCTGAACTGCATAGGGAGCTGGGCTCAGTCAGGGACAGTGGTTGTGGAGGCAGCAGGTGGGTTCCTCCTTCCAGCCCAGCTGTTCCTTTCCAAGTTCAGAAGTAGGCACAGGGAAGGGACCCCTTGTGCTGGCACCATAACAGCCACTGTTCCCAGCTGAGCCCAGCTCCTGCTGAGCATGGGGCAAATGAGAGGGGGTGCTGGGATGGGGGAGGGGGGTGTATTCTTACCTGATTTGGGGACTTAAAAAATCCCCTGGCTGATACTCCCACAGCATGTTCTGCCCACCCCAGTGAGAGTGGAGAGTTAAGAGTGGGGGGTGCAGCCACTCCGTCAGTGCTGGTCGCTGCCCCCACACCCCCTTTACAAAATCCTGGATCCATCCACGAAAACATCTGAATGAGCTTCATGCTATGGGATGCCAATAGGATTTAAGTACTGGAGTCACAGTGGCAAAAACTTGAAAAGGAACTCTGTTTAAAATGGGACTTGTGTAGAGATGATGGACCTTATTCATATCAGTGCCACTTTGCTTCAGGAAATGCTGTTTTACTGGTCTGGTATGACAGATTTTGTCCTGTTATATTCCTAGTACCTTTTCATAAAGGAGGCTTTTTTTTTAAATAGCTAGTGCATTTTCATTCAGTTCTTGGCTCTTTGCTTAGAAATGCAGTAAAGTGCTCACCTTTTCTATTTGTAGATTCAAGATCAAGAATACCATTTCCAGGTACCATCTAAACCAGACCAACGTTTTTAGCTTATCCTGTATAAGTAATTTCCCTCCTACCCTCAATGGCTCATTTTATGGTTTTAGGGATATAAGAGGTGAAGCAACCTCTGGTGCAAAGGAATTTTTTTAACTGTTGGCATAATTTAGAAATTAGTCACAGATTAGTTGATAGTTTTCTAAGGGAAAGGAAAAATTAGCTCAGCTGAGCATAATTTTTTTTACTATTGATTAGAATAAGATCTGCTTTGTGGGAACTAAAGCAGATTATATTCACATATTTCTTTCAAAGCAGATGGTATGAGCTTGTGGCTTGCAACCAAGAAATGGTAGGCTTTGGTTCTGTTCCAACATTCTGCCACTGACTTGCCAGAAGGCCCCAGAACAAGTCACATAATCCCACATTTTGACTGACTGAGGACTTAATTTGAATACCCTAGGGCCTAATAGCAAGACATGCTATATGACAATATCAGCCAAAATCAACTGAGATGGCTACAGAAATGTGATTTTAATCACTAGATGTCATCCCTCTGCTTAACTGTCACAATGCACTCATTCCAACAGCAATACTTTACAGCATACTAGTCAAGTGAACTGGACAAGTGTGCATTTGGGAAAATGCTGCATCTACAGCAGGAAAGTATGTTTTCTAGATGTGCCTGGTATGGAATTCAGTAATCAATGAGTTAATGCTCAAAGCTGTGTTTCAATACCAAAGCAAACCATACTGAAATATACTTAATTACAACCTTGATAGAAGCAAAATAATATCACTGCCTGCAGCACTGCCAAAGCAAACGTTATGTAAAGGTCAGCTGGAAAGAATGTCAGGATCTGAGTTAATTAGAACCACACCAGCAATGCTAGCATATTGCTGAAGCAGGTCTGCTTAATCCATACTGCAAAAGAGGCAAGTCTGAGTTTCTCAGCTGCAAAACAACAAAAACAACAATATTATTCTTCTCCTGCCCTTTCAATCTGCTTTGGGGTAGCATCTTCAAGTTACCACTCTGTACTGCTGCACAGGATGTGAAGTTCTGTGTGAGTCATTTCGAGAGGTAGGTGGCAAGTGCAATACAGAATTAGAGTCATTCTGCCTTGCCATCCAACTGCCTTTTGGATTGGTACATAGAAAAAATTAGATGTGGTGATGGGGTGCAACGGACATCACAGCCTGCTTTCTGTTGTTCATTTCAAAAGTTTCTGCTTGTGTCTCATTTGCACACATGCCCTCCCACATCTCCTCTATGAAGGTAATACCTAATCCTTACACAGTCATCAGCTGCAAAGTATGGGGAACACAAGCCAGTTAGGGGAATTCACACAACACTCTGAGAAACGCTGACTGAAGAGTACATTTGCATAGAAACCACACAGAATCATGCACATAGCACTGAGTGACCAAGGCAAAAATACTCTGAAGCAGACACTTCCGTCCTTCTTAAATTAATAAAACTTCCCAGCTGCCCAACATTTAAGCTTCTCTTTACTTAACAGTTACTTCAACCTCCACACTACATTCATAGATATGAGGAGGATGGCACTGGCATGGCATATAGGAGATTTGCATTGCATTCCTGCTGCCACTGATTCTCAGTGAGAGTCCCCTATTTTCACCCACTGAATCCCGTTGTGGGCATATTAATTTATTTTATTTAACTTTCTCCATGGATGTATGTGATCTGAGGAGCACTGGATTAATCAGGTTCCCATATCTTCATTCTCCTGCCTTCCCACCCATATTTTTTTCTGAAAAGAAAACACATTTGGTAATAAAATGGATGTTCCATGACTGTTTATAAGAAACAGTCATCCAACATTAGCCCTGGAGCCTTTATCTCATAAAGTTATTAGACAAAAAGAAAATTATATGAGAGCAAGGCATTTAAATGCTTAGAGAAACCTCTCCACTGTCATTGTTAATTATAAGTAACTACTACATTTTGAAAGACATGCATTATATTTAAATGCTTTATTCATGTACATTTTTTATTCTATGTTTAAGTAGTCATGCTTTCCAACAGGGAGATATAATGTGTCTGCTCCATATAACACAAACCAGGATGCTTGATGTATTATGAAGATTTTGCTGAGCAGTCATTTAAGGCAGTGGGGGCCAATCCTTTTGGCAGGTGTGTCCTGCACCGTCCCCAAGTGCCACTGTGATCCTTTTCCCTTGCCTGAACTGCTGCTTGGCCTTCAGCTCTTTGCCCTGTGCTTCCTGACCAAGCTTCTTCTCTGCTTTCTGCTCCCTGCCCAGTGCTTCCTGCCTGAACTGTAGGGGCGTGCAAAATGGGCCATATTCGATTTGGATTCAGCCTGAACAAGGGACAGTGATTCAATTAGTTGATTCGGATCACTGTCCCCGATTCAATTTGGCCAAATCCGAATCTGAAGATTCAATGCTGATTCGGAGAAGCAGCGATTCGGCCATAGACACAGCTTTAAATGTTTTTTTCTATAGACCTCAAGGTACCAGGCATGGCTTGTGAACACTGCGATGCTGGGACAGAAGGAGTGTCTCAGAGGAGTGCAGGGGGACTTCCCGCATGCTTGGCAGTGAACCTGGAAGTGGACCGGAAGCACCAGTCACTGAGCCAGGGTGGCGCAGGGGCCCCCCAGTGTGCTCCCCAGCAGACCCAAAATGCTTCTAGATCACTTCTGGGTCTGTTGCCAAGAGCACTGGGCAGCCCCCTGCACTTCTGTGGGATGCTCCATCCACCCCAGCACCACAGCATTGATGAGCCGCTGATACCTTGAGGTATGTAGAAAAAACATTTAAAGCTGTGTCTATGTCTGAATCGCTGAATTTTTCCAAATCGATTCGGAGAGATTAAAGGGTCTTCTGATTTGATTTGGATTTGGAGATTCAGCCACCGAATCAGACTGAATCTCTGCCAAATTGAATCAGGGACTGAAGCTTTGCAAAGCATTACTGATCTGAATGTTTTGCTTTCTGCTATCTGTCCCCTCCCCAGTCTGCCATGTGCCACACACACAAGCTGCCTGGGACACTTATGGCACCCTTGCCCAGTGCTGCAGGAAGGTGGAGGGGGGGGGCGAGCAGGGCGTCTGCCCTAGGTGCCGAAGCAAAGGGGTGCTAACAGGTGCTGCCCAGCTGGGGTGGGGAACAGGACAAAGCCATGAGTGGCTCATTTGGGGGAGGTGCAGGGACGGGGGACGGGTGGCTCCTGCCGTTGTATGCACTACCGGGCAAGCACGGCGGGGGAGGGGGGCATGTTCCTCCCAGATCTGTGTGAGGGGTGAGGGTGGGCTGCTGCTGCAGGCTTTGCCCTGAGTGTCAAACTTTATTGCTACAGCACTGCCCTTGCCGCAGGTGGCCATCCCTGGCTTAGAGGCAGATATGAATGTTATCTATGCACAAATAATCCCCAGTAAAAACATTTAGCAGAAACCCACCCAAATAGATCAAGATTTTTTTTTTGTTCCATTTGGAATGCCAGGGATTGGGATGGATGTGCAGCAGCAAGGCCAAGAGCTGTCTCTGATTAACTGTTATGTGTAGCCACAAGAAGGCTGACAGCATATAAAAACACATCAGTTACGAGAGATCCCACGGATACTATAATATTTAAAACAATAGTATAGCTGGATCATGGATTAGGAAACTAAGAATATTTTCTAAAAGCCTTTATGTTGCACTGTTCTTATATATCAAGCATCTAAGGGGTAGAGGGAGGAGAAAAGTAATTGCCTTTGTATATTCTTGACTTTTTTAACATCTCACCTTTCTCCGATTAGCTGGTGATAAGCTTCTGTAGAGCTTCCTGCCCTGTTTGCCAGCGTTCCAAATGGTGAAAGACGCCCAGTGCTTCAGGACTCTGTCTTCCAGAAATCTGACTCGATGATTCCAGATGGTTTCCCTGGGGAATCAGAAAAGAAGTGCGTTTGATCTAGAAATACATTAACAGCATAAGAAATCTCACTTTCCAAACAGATACATTTCTGATGCAAAAACCACACTGAAACATCAGACTAGCAACAATTCCAGTGGAAATGAATGCTGTAACTGGAAAAAAAATGGTCTCCTGTTTAAACATTAGACTTGCTGTCTTTGTTGCTGTGATCTTTCATTTATACTCAGATGTGGACAATGTATAGGGGAAGTTGCTGGAGAAGCACCATCAATGCTGCCTGTGGGAGATCCTTCATATCCAGTGGGAAGGCAGATGCACCATTAGTGTCCTCTTGCAAGAAAACACCATGAGCACTGAGGTGATGATCATCCGACATCAACTTTGCTGCACCAGCCAAGTCATCTGGATGTCCGACTCCAGATTCCCAAAGCAAGTTTTATTCTCCCAGCTCAGTCAAGGTGTATGCTCAAGAGGAGGGCAGAGAAAGCACTTCAAGGATGTCCTCATGGTTAATGTGAAAGAAATGCAAAACTGAAATCAACTCATGGGAAACTATTACCTAGGACCACCCCAAATGGAGGAAGAGTCTGCTGCAAGGATCTCAGTACTTTGAAAACTTACAAAGACAGTGGGAGACAGAAAAACAGGAGCAGCAAAAACAGCTTGTCATGGACTGAATTAAGAGCCCAGAGCCACCCACCCCACATGGAAATGTGTCCAAGTTCCAACAGTCTGTCAATCCTGGATAGGCTTCCTCAGTCATCTTCGAATCCACAGTTAAGACTTCATAGACGACAATCATCCTCGACTGAGAGGGAGTGCCAGTGATAATATTGAGCTCAGTTCCATTTCAATGTACTCTGCAAGATGTTGAGCAAGTTAAAGACACATGATGGACTTCTCCTAAAACATATATATTGATGGGACACAGCAGAGATACAATATTGTCAAATCTTGTAAAAGGATAAAAATTTAAAAAATGCCCAAGTGATTTATGATTCTAGGACCCATGCTCAAAAGTGACCTACGCATTGAAGAGCTTAAGTCCCAAAAGGGTTTAGGCTCCTCAGTCATTCAAGCACATATAAAAAAAATTACCACTATGCACTTTTAAGCAATTTAGGAACCCAAGTGCCCTTGATAAAGCTTTGTTTTCTCAGTCTATATTCCAGCTGTACTACTGCCTTTTCCTTTATTAAATATCATGGTATATCCATCTCTTCCACAACTGGCACACTGCCTGCTGCAGGCTACACATAAAGTTACATTTGACTTAGGCTCCTAAGTCACCTTTGGAAATGGGACTTAAATGCCTTTGTAAAGGTAATCCTAAATCGTTTGTAACATTCTCAAGTAGATCTGAGTAATTCAGTGTACTAACTTTCCATTGTATGGTTACACTTGAGGGTGAGGTTTGTAGAGGATAAATTGCTAGAGAGCACAACGAAGTCACAAGACGGTGACTCATTTTACAAGAGCCAGTGTTTGAATATACAGGTGTGTGTGTGCATGCGTGCGCATATGGATAAACAACCACATCTCTCTACATGGCACATCTGATTAGTTTAGATTACCATGATCACTAACTTCTGCAATCATGGCCTTTTTTGGTGCTGAGTGTGGAATAGGCAGTCTCTACCTAAAAGATACTGCAAACTAGTCAAAGAAATGTCTTCCCTTCCTCCTAAGAAACTAATTCAGAGAGCAGTGTGTCAGAGCAAGGGTGCTAAAATGACTTGGGTCCAAAAGTCCCTGAAACAGGTCCAAACACACCCAGCAGTTGAACCTGCTACCACTAAATGTTATAGTTTTAGGAAGATAAGGTTCTTTTGGGTGAATCTGATATCTTAGACCAACTTAAATAGTTGGAAAAAATTTTCTTAGCAAGCTTTGAGGTTTAAAAACTCTTCATCAGGCTGAGGAAGCATCTGCAGTTGGTAAACTCTAAAACATTCTAGTTGAAATCATGCCATAATGGATGTCAAATGTTCCAGGTTATGTTTTGGTTTTTCAGCTATCTGTAATTTCTTTCCATGATACTAGCATATAAAACCACTTTTAGCTTTGGCTATATACTATTATTTGTCTAAAGCCTAAGAATCTCAACCCTGCTTTGCAAGATGTTGTGTCTGTCAGCAGCGCTAAAATACAGCAGAACTAATTGCACTGTATAAATATACCATCATTGTAAGTATGAAGTTCCCACAAGTTAACACCCTGGACACATTTTACGGCTTCTAATGGATTTATATCTTAAGGATTTAGATATTTTCACCTTAATAAGTGCAAAAGTATCTCACAGCCTAGAACGAAGGGAGCAGGGAGCTTTTAGCAACTGTACTCTGTTCTTTATTTGAAAAGTTGTGCTCAGGCTTGTCATTCACAGAAGCTAAAATGTTATTCTTTTAAAGCAAGTAAGCGAGGCCACAGGAAGGATTTCTGTCCGTGTGTGTGCATGTGAGACAGAGACAGGGAGTTTATATCACAGGATTCAGGAGCAATTCTACAACAACAATCCAGTACAGATCCCAAACCTAAGCCAGCCTGCAGTGACCAACAGTTGATCAAGTTCAAAAGTCCTGAATAACCCTATAACAAAGCAGGCTTGAGCAGCCCAAAACTCATGACTGCCCCACGTATGTGATTCTGAATATGCAGGTGCATGTTCAGACCAAACAGTGCAAAGGCAATTGATGAATTTACTTAATTTTCAAGCTTATATGTTCCTTTTCTTAATAAGAATTGTGCATCCCCAGGTTCCCAGATGAAGTAGGTGATGTACTCTTTCTGAGGGAAACAGCAGACAAAGAACAGTGGAAGAAGTCACTGGAAAAATAATCCTTTAAATAGAGTGTAACCTTAACAAAATGTCTAAAAAGTATGCTTTAAAATAAAGCAAGCTGACAGATGTCTGTGTGTCCAAGTGGATTTTTATGTCTGAAATAAATTCCACAATGTAATTTATACAAATCTAACACTGTAAACAAAAGTAAGAGTGATACCAAATGTTGAGTCCCCACAACTGTGGGATCACAATCATGAAACATCTGTAAATGCTGCAGATTGGTTGGGATTATCAATTTCAGAAAGTTCAAAGTGTACTCTCACAGAGAGGAGATGCATTCAAGGCAGGCATTCGGTCTTGAGTCCTTCATCTCAACTGCTCGGTGTTTTCAACAATCTTCTCACCCTCCCCCATTTCTGCTCATTTCCTATTGTCTTCAATCACTTATTTTTTTAAAATATCTGTTTCCACTGTATAACGTAATATTGAATAATGTATCATTATAATGGCTTAAAGAAATTTGATTTTAGCTGAAAATGTTGGTTTATGTTCAGGATACTTTTAGTACTCAAAATAGGATTCCACTTCACATTAAAATAACTAGCTTACTAAGCACAAAAACAAATAATTCCCATGAAGGTATGACGTAAGTGCAAGAGAGTGTTGAAAACTGGCTTACGAAATGCAAACTTATTTCATACTTGTAACTTTTTTTTTTTTAATCTCGGTCTCTACCCAGGGCTGGACACAGGCATGGGCAAACCAGGTGACTGCTCAGGGCCCGGACAAAAAGGATGCCCGAAAATGGTAATTTAAAAATTATTATTCTCATTTTTTCTGGTGAAGGGGGGCCCAATACTAAAAGTTTGCCAGGGCCACCATGACTTTAGGTACGGTGCTGTCTCTACCTGTAAAATGACCTCATCCAAAGACCACAACAGAAAGACTATCATTGACTACAGTAGGCTCTGAATTAGGCGTTCAGCTAAAATTCCCCAGAATATCAATGACAGCAACATTCATACACATCTCTACATTCATACAAAACAGCCTATGCCCGTCTGGCCTCGAACATCCGGTCACGTGCCACTCGGGCCTGGATGTTCGGTGTTGTTTGTCTGTCTGTCCCCACTGTTACGCCGAGTGGATGTCTCCTTCTGGTGTAGTCTTTCCTCAATCTCGCCTGCCACGACTTTGGATCTTGTTTCAGTAGTTGGTATCAAACTACCGGGGTTATCTCGACTATGAGACAGCTGTCTGGTGATCTTCTGCGAGGCTCCACCTCCCCTATACCTCGCCCTTATACCCAGCCTTTACGGGTCACAATTATCCTCCCGGCCAGGTTGCCGGCCATTGAACCCCTGACTGCCTTCATGTGGCAGGTGTGGTCTGCCCTGCCTACAGCGTGGGCCGCCTGCGGTCACTTATCTGGTCTATGAGACTGCTGCTTCCCCCAAAAGCTAGCAACTTCTCCAGAGACTTAATAATACTCAGGCCTGCTCTGACCTACAACCCCTCCTAAAGTGGGAAACACAAAATCTAAACAAAGAAAAACTACAGATGCAATCTGAGGGACCCCTCACTCCCCTTTCCCAGGCCCTTTCCTTGGCCTGGTCACTAACAAAGCGCGCAGACCCTGAGGTGTATTTCAGGCTCAGTAGGTTGTCGGTATCTTCTGTTGGCTCCGCCACCATTCAGCTCTCATTGTCCCGCTTGGGGCTTCTTAGGGCCACTGGCAATCCTCCAACAGGCATCTGTCCACCCGTCCCTCACCATAACCACGCCACACCACCGAGGGCCATCTTTCACAGCCTTTCCCACTGCTCTTGCCTCCCGTCTTCCAGCTGGTGTGCCTTTTCGGCTTCCCCAGTGCCCTCAATGTCAGCGTCTATCTGTATCCCTTTACTCTCCTCTCCAG